AAGTATTCAGAAAATATAACAGAATCTGAGGAGAATGAATTCACCTAATTTTACTATACATTTGGTCTAAGCGCTGATTTTTTTTTTTTTTTTTTTTTTTTTTTTTTCTGCAGTGTCTTCGTGGTGTTACTTTTACTGCCTTAGCTATTGAATCTCTCTTTAAGTATTCAGGTCAATTTGCAGAAACACCCTGGAACATTTCCATAGTTTGAGCTCCTCTGTGGTTTTGGAACTAACAATGGTAGTAAAGGGAGAATGCTTCGGAACAACCAGCACAGTTATGTTTTTGGTAGCACTACTGGCAAGCTGGTGCAGACTTGTAAAAAGAAGGCAGCAATTTCTGAAAGAACCCAAGCCAGAATGCTTTCCAAACCCAGCCAGCACAAGTCCCGTACGCAACAGTCGAGCAAAACTATAGCTAGATAGGTGGGGGCAAAGGGAAACTCATAAAACAAAACACTGTGGAACAAAAATAAGGTCTGTTTTTCAGACTTATTTGTTTTCTTACGTGTAACAGGTATAGATGTCTGAACTTTTCCATTGTTTAAGTATATTAACACAGTAAACAGTTTCATTACTGTGATTTCAGTTCATAAGCAGAAATGCACAGTGTGAGAGCTTAGCACTTGCAGTGCTCCATGTGGTTGTCTTCGTGCAAAGACAAGCATTCAAGTGATGCATGCACAAGCATGAYTTTAACTGGCTGTAGGCATCTACCAGTGGGGTTTGCACGAGTGCAAGCAAACCCTGATACTTGATAAACACTGTCTGTTTTGGTATGACAAAAATGTAATTTCCATTAAAAGCAGCTGCAACTTTTATTTTATAGATGAAAAATGAAGCCCTCCCATCTCATACACACACACATAGAAAATGCAAGACATTTGTAACCATTCAGGTGAGTGATATGGTGGGCAAACCTCCAGGATAGTCATCTCATTGCATCTCATTCAATGCAAGTAATTCCACTCAGGTGCTACAGTCTGTTTAGTTAAAACCTACACACTCAAGCGCACACATGCACACATACACACTCACTCCATATGCATCATCTCAGGTCACTTTACTGCATAATTAAAAAATAAAGGTAATGAAAATGTTACCGCACTGATACTCTTACAGCAGAGGTCTGAGGCACTCGGGGAAGAGAAGACATTTTCTGGTAGGTTTGGTATTTGGTAGTACATGGAGCAAGTCCAGTTCTATGGAGCACTAACCCCTTGCCCCCGTTCAGATTGTGCAGTGCCATGGGGAGCCAGGGGCATGCAGTACTCAAAAGGTTAGGTCTAATGTGGCAACAGATTCACCAGGCACCTCATAAAAGGTGTGTTTTATGCGCGTGATTGCATGATTTAATATGTCTGCATTGGTTCAACTATTTCTTGTGTTACAGTGGTGCAAGACCTGAAGTCTGCCGTGGGGTCTGAAATAATTACAGCTCAGAAAAACAGAAAAAAATAGACTCCCTCGCAGACACAGCAAAGATTTTTTGGAAAGGAAGTGGACAGGGAAAAAGAAGGGGAGGAAGAAGACAGAGGCTTAATCAGTCCACAATCCTTAAGCTGACAGTTTCTAGCTTAGCTGACACATTAACAGACAAGAAAGTGGTTTATGTTCTGTCGTAGCCCATCCTATACCCTCTCTGAGGGAACTGATCAGCTGTCTCCTTAAGCCAACTGTTGGGGGGAAAATCCCTTAACTGTTTAAAAAAATGAAGATGCTTCCCCTTCTCACCCTCAGACTTAGTTCATGAGATCCATATGTAGCTCAGTGTAAGTCTTGCAAATCCACTCCCCCACAGCTACTGTGGGTGCACCTCTAGAAAATGCCCCACTGCTAACTAACCCAGGGATCCCATGGCACATGTGAATTTTCAGGCTCTTGTTCATTCCTTTCTCTACTCAAGGCAGATAGAGCAGTTTCACTGAGCTTCCTGAGCAGGAGATTGCCAAGCACCAACGAGCAGCGAAGCTGCTCGTTCCAGGGAGCTGCACTTAACACAGAATTTAGTAATTTTCCCCACAGGCAGTCGGTACTATCATTCTCCAGCAATAAAAGCAAATCCCGCCATTAACACAGTGTGCCACCAACAGTGACAATTACAACAGAGGCAATCAGCAGAGAGATGGGACAGAACTAAAGGTAAGGGCAAACTATTCTTGGCAACATGCATCTCTTTCCTTCTCCCCCACAATTCTTCTCAACTGATAAACAAGGCCCAGCCCATTACAACAGTATTTGCAGAAGCAAGAGCAGGTCTTTGGAACTAGGAACACTTAAAATTCAGGYGCCACTCAGGCACCAAGAGAGACAGAGCACACTGAAGTAGTGAAAAAACCTGGATCCCAAAATATCAAGTCCTAGTGGGAAAGGTCACCCCACATTTTTCTAGCTAGTATCCTGGCAGCAATAGAAGCAACTGCAGATCTAATTGGAAGAAAGGTGCTAAAGAAGTAATTGAAGGAAAATAAAAAAGAAAACATAGTACGAGTGTTGCAGGTAGGAGGAAAGCAGAAAATATTTTAAATCCTTCTCTGCTTTTTCAGACATTGGGTCAGGTTCTTCAAGATATTCCTCTTAACTACAGTCAGTGAGAACAAAATAAATGATGAACTCCCCCTCTATTCTGTACTCTTAATAAAATGCATAGTACAGAGAAAAAAAAAATATATGTATCTTTCAGATCCACCCACTCAGTCCAGACTATCACTGGGACATGAAATGTGGACGAATGCTATCCAGCCGCCGCGTTAGGATCTCACAGCCTGTGTCGGTGACCAGCAGCGTGTGTTCAAACTGGGCAGATCGTTTTCCATCTCTTGTTACTGCTGTCCAGCCATCGGGCCACGTCTCATCCTGCCAACCACCTAGAAATATAAAAATAGTCAGAAAGTTGCAATTTAAGAGATGCCATTCTCCAAAGCAGCATGGTGGGAAGGGAGTAAATCACCCAGCTATACTAAGCAAGATCAGTATTATCTTTCCAGCACATCTTTACATCTTAACATCTGTTACCCTAAAGAAGGGTAACAATTTTACTGTAATAACAAGCATTGCGCAGAGTAAATGYAGTTTATCACTTGTGATAAACTAATCAGTTGCTCACCTTCACAGATCATTGGTTCGATTGTAAATACATGCCCTGGCTTCATTACTCCAACTGCCTTGTTTTCTGCAATAAAAGCAGTAAGTTAGAAGAAGCCCTCCTATCTTAGGAAATGAATGAATCCTCCTACAAGAATATAGCACAAYTACGTAAAGTCAGAAGAACCCTTAAAAGAAGGGCCAATCACACAGTAAAATGTATTTAAGTATTAAGTATTTAAGATGCTCAGAGATGGTTTGAAAACTTAATTACTTCTTAATTTTATTTTCCTGAACCGTTAACGCCCTCAATTTGCTCTTATGGTGTAAACCCATTAAATGGTCCAAACCACCTACACGTGGTGGACATCAAGCTGGCACAACAGCTTCTCCACAACATCTAGCTATACCATTCCAAATAACATTTCTGTCTGGGAATGGCATTGAGGTTTTGTTTAGACCTTTTGTGAATGAACAGAAATATGCTCCTGTTCTAGACAAGAATGCCTAAAGGGTTAGAGGAGGATTCATACAAACAGGTCAAGCACCAACGCACTACGGGTGAGAGCTAAAACCTAGTGTACAACATATGCAGGTAATTTATTTAGGAACACTATCATTTGGAGTATAAAGATATATATTTATAATATGTAGAATACATACACATATACTACAAGTGTAAAAATGCCAAGTTGGTGGCTGTCAAGCAAAATGCTATTTTTTTAGAATATGAGCAACTAGACTGGGTGCACTTATTGCAAACCATGTCCTGTCTACAAGATAACATAAAGCAAATACTCACTGGCATAATGTGGCACATTGGGGGCTGTATGGAAAAGTTTATGGATTCCATGCCCGCAGTAGCTCCGAACCACTGAGAATCCGTTTGCTTGAGCATGTTTCTGAATAATGTTTCCGAGTTCTCTATACCGAACACCAGGTTTTACTGAAAAATGAAAATAATGCAGACAGATACAAACTTATACAGGTTTCTTTCAAGCAACTCACACCATTTGGCAAACAGAATCTCTGTAACACTGGTTGCTTGTTTATCTATATGTTTTTGCATACAGCATTCTCCCTCCACTGCAATCTCTATTTTTATTTAAATATGTTATGTGGCTTGCCTCAGCAATCACCTCAAAATTTTCCTGGTAAACATCTGTTTAAAATAGGAATTGCAACAATGCCAGCAGTGTTTGGAGAATCACTGTATCAAACAATATACATCATCTACTAAGGACATACAGTAAGAAGAGTTCTACCATGCAAGTAATTCCCAGGTAATATAGGCAATTATGTGTGTAATACAATAAGTTTGAAACCAAAAGGACAACACTTTGAGCCTCAGCAAAACCCTTTACCTGCGTCGATGGCTTGCATTAGGCACTCGTAAGTTGTCTGGACAAGTCTCCTTGCACCCTCATCGACTTCTCCAACATAAAATGTCTCATTCAGATCTCCATGGTAGCCATTACGATAGACAGTAATATCCACTGCAGAGAACACCAGACATATCATAATATTATTACTGTTTCTCCCTTTTTATCTCTTGATTTGCAGAAAGGATAATAAAAACATGTTAAAATGTAGTATTAGAATTCTGAAGTCATGAAATTACTTTGGAAGAATTCCAGATGTGAAAGCTTTTCCAGCAGTACCAGTTCTCTAGCACTTACCCTGTATATTTTATGGAATTGGTAAAGAAGACAGTGTTTTATAAGTCAACGTCTTGATCAAAACAAACATCCCCCTCAACACTGATGTAGCCTTGCCATGGCACGTTTACTGTTTATGATTGGTTTTATGGGTAAATGTAAAATCAGGGCAGGGATATTATTGGCTCCGTGATGATTTACCTGGTTAAAGTATAGTCATAAAATTCCAGGGCCAACAGAGTGAAAATAAAGTCCCTAGGCAGTGATGGGTAACTTCAGCAATTTCACTACGTGGTTGGAATAGTAAGCCACACCTCTGCAAAAATCGTTTGTAGCCAAAACCGCAGGGTTTCTTACTGGGAATAAGGTTGGACAGGGAGAAACAAAAAATGTGCCAGTTTGCACAGAGATCACTGTTGGTCAAGAAACTGCTCACAGAGGGACAGCACAGTAACAAAATGTTACTTTGCCCTGCTTGGAGATGAAGTTGGACAAGGTGTCACTGGTGGTCTCTTCCAAGCTTATTTTTTTCCCCATGTTTTGCTATGATTCTGAAATCCAGTTTCAGGCTCTTTGACCAAATGGCTGCACATACACACACATTTTCTTAACACTTACCATTAACAATATCGCCTTCCTGCAAAGGCCTCCTATCAGGAATTCCATGACAGATCACTTCATTCACTGACGTACAGCATGACTTAGGGAAATTATAGTAATTCAGAGGGGAAGGATAGCAATTCCTTGCAATGCAAGCCTAAATCAGATTTAAAAGAATACAATTTATAATTTATTTTAGCAAGCTTTATACAAAGAAAGAGCGTAAGCACAACAATTTTACAATAAGAATGACATTTTGAAAAGCTGCGACTCCTGAAAATAAGTTTTTTCAAGCCTTCCTCCTTTTCACAGGACATTAGGGTATTTTTGTAAAGCTTTGTGTTTCAAATCAAAAAGAAAATTTGCAAAAAGAAAATAGAGGTAGGTTTTTTTTTCTTACTTATTTTTATGTTCAACTACACATGCTGAAGTACTGAGGTTCAAATAATGCACGGAAATACATTTTTGATACAAAAAAAACCCCAGCTATTTTCAAGGAGTGCCTTTAAGCATCTGCTCTAAGACTTTAAATAACTTTTTTTATAAGAGATCAGCTAGAAAAAAAAATAGATTTGGTACCACTCTTTTATCCTAACTTTAAAAACACATGCTGCTTCCTTTGTTTCCCTCTAATATTCTTGCTGGGATTCCAGCAAAACCGACACATACATTTTATATACATACACATACACAAACAAAGAAGCATATTGCACAGTTCTGGAACCAATAATATTGTTGTAACTGTTTTTTTTAATATAGTTATATATATTTTTTAAATAATACTATTTTAAGAGTGCTAAATACTAATTAGGGATCTCAGTTGAGATATCCCTAAAGGTGAAAGAGCTCAGAGGGAAAATCTTAGGATGAAAATCATGGAGTCCCAGGAGCTCCTAACTGGGAGTTCATTTTTGAATTTAACATTGTGCTATAATAGGTTTCCAATTTTTGTTCTACCTAGAACTAGACAGTCTGGAATAAAGACAAGGAGAACACACAGCCAAAAACGCACAACAAACATACCAAAAGGGCAGGTATTAGAACCAAAAAAAACAATAAAATAACCTTACTATATGGACAGCATGATCAATTTCTTCAGTAGTTACACCTGCTTTCACCATCATGGCAGCAACATCCAATACTTCCCTAGCAAGCTGCAAATAAGGAAAACAAAAACAAAACAAAATCTTATTTAAAATGAGGCCAGGTGCAATACCTGGAAAGTTAGCAATACATTTGCTTGAGATACATTGAGACTACTGGAAAAATTGGGCAGACTGGGACTTTTTAAAGACTTTGAGAGGTCTATAGTTTGTATTAATAAGACATCAGGGACACTTAAAAGCATTCCTTATTATTAAGATTTGGACCACGGATCCCTTGAATATTGCAAACATAAAATAGACTATTTAAATATATTTCAAAGAAAAGACTTCATGCACAAGGAAATGATCACAGCGGAATAGTTCTTATTCAGGAAACTGAAATAAGATTTTTCAAGAATAAAGGAATTCTGTAATGAAAAACAAAACCTCCTTACCCTACACACTACTCGCATCCCTTCTATATCCTCAGATGAGAGGATTTTTATTTGAGAGGTTCCTTTTAAAGCCTGTTCTGATTCAGACATTCCTGAAAAAAAAAAAAAGAAGAAAGAAGAAAGAAGAAAGAAGAAAGAAGAAAGAAGAAAGAAGAAAGAAGAAAGAAGAAAGAAGAAAGAAGAAAGAAGAAAGAAGAAAATGTTAATACAAAGGAGTGATTGCTAGGCAGTTCCAAACCAAACAACTTCTGCAGTTTCCCAATGGTAATAGAAGTATGCCTCTTTTCACCAGGGACAAATAATGAAGCCACCACTAATAAAAGCACTATAGCCATCACCTAGATTTATTCGAATTCATAAGCCTTACACTACCCTTCAGTGCCCAGAATTCAGGATGTCCATCCTCTTGCTGGGCACAACCATCATGCCCAAGTAGTTATAAGCACCCTCAGTGCTCAGCAATGGCTTGGCTGTATTCTCACATGTGCTCTCATAAAGTGGTAAAGGGCACTCACATAGTTGCATGAGCCCCTAACCTGCAGCATTGTGTTGTTTAAATATTTATGTTCCCTAAACAGAGTGAGGTCCCTGAGAAAGGCCTTAAGGAATTCATATGCTGCAGCTGACTTGTGTGCTACGTTTGCAGTTGGTTATCAAGTAAGCCACAGAGGTAGAACTTACTGGGGTAGAACTTATTTTTGTCCTTCAGAGGTGTATAGGAAAGAGAAGACAACTCATTCAAAACTTTGAACTTATATGAAATATTTGTAACTATATTTTGGGAAAGATCAGTAAGTTAATGTAGGGGAGGAAGAGGCCAAGTAAGAAGAACAAATAGAAGAGAATCCCTTTTCCCACATCTCGATGCTTTACAGGCTTCTTCGTCTGAAGAAACACACATGCACACAGGAGTAACACAGAGCAATTGTGATTTGTTTCAAGTTACCTAGTGGGTGATCGGCATAATCCGGTCTCTGAATATAGCTTGGCACAGGCCTTGTTGGCGTCTAAATAAATCACAGTCAAAGCTGGTTAGATTGCAAGAGTACTTAYTACAGATATAAAAACAGAGACCCAGGCAGCAAAGTTAAATACAGTGAATTTAAATAAGAAAGTTGAAAAGTAGGCAAACACCCCCAAGCACCTCCAGCCAGCAATACTCAGCAAAGATTGTAACTCTTTATATTATACAACCTCTAATAGCCAACTTCACAGCTTTGYAAAAGCAATTCTATTTGTCAAATAAAAAGACCCTGCTTTTGTCATGTGTTATAACTGCTATCCTGTAGTGTGTATTCTGACACTTTCCAGACTGCATATGCTCGGGTCCCAGATGCACCCTCCCTTCTTTTCATTATTTSCACACACTAGTATTACTGTTGTCTTTAATTATCACTCTATTTCTTAGGACTTTTTTCTTATAATTTTATATACAGCAGCTGGGGGCATGGGGAACAATGGGAAGAAAACAAAAACAAAACAAAACAAAACAAAACAAAACAAAAAACTCCAAGAGGCTAAGAAATAGCATAATTAAGTAGAAGGCCAGTGAAACATTCAAAACACCCTTTTCTCCAGAGCTACCAAAAAGCACACAAGGTCTCAGGGTCTGTAAATCTACCCATTCAGCCTGTAGCAGATGGAGAAGACTATGGAGAGGATGCTAGGCTCTTAAAAAGAGCAATTATTTAAAAGCTAAATGTGGAACCTTTTCCTGCAGTGCTGAAACAGTGCGACATTTGCTACTTACCAGTGGATAATGTGGTCTGAGTTTACCCGTGTATCTATAACCAGCCCAAGGGTTTGTGTTGATGTCACCCTCTAGGGTCCAAGAGGAAACCTCACGTTTAGCTTTTTCATCTTCTGAAAAGAAAAAAGAAATTGCAGCAGCCTATCAAGAATAAAAAATTTGTATCCAGAGAGTGACCTGAAAGTATGTAAATATAGAYTTAATCCCACTTGGCTTTTTTTTAAATGCTTCCCATAAGTAAGTTTAGTTAGTAATTTTCATCTTATTTTGTCCTTGGGTTTTTCACATTCAAAATTCACACTCAATTCATATGTCAACTCTATCTTTACCCAGTGGCAAACTGAACAATGTCAGGACAGCAGTACTGAAGGCTCAAATGAAACAAAATTGTTATTGACGTCAATATTTATACATAGTTCTAAAACACGGTTCTGTGCTTGGGGAGAAACATATTTCTACTGAAAGACCCTCCATCTCTTTAATGAASAGCCCTGTATTGTAGCTGAAGGTTCTTCCTCTGTGCAATTTCTCTTAGTATTCAAAGAGAGAAGTTATCTGGATAGGTAAAGGGCATTTGACTATGATTTTTAACCCACAGTGCCTACTACCATCCTCTGTCCTGAGGGGCAGCGAGGGGGTACAGCCTCCTACTGCATTTCAGAACAGGCCGCATATTTACTTTACAAGATGGTTTTAATCTGCTGGAGGTTTCTGGCTCTCTTAGCCTTGTAAAACTTATACCTGACGCAGTCCATTGATGACTTCCTTCACAAATAATAAATTTAAAAGAGTAGATTGATGGCTGGTACATGGGGGATTGAAGCAGGTGCATTCTAAGCATTATCAAAAGGAAAATGTACTTGGAAAGAGGGGGCAAAGGCTAGGGAAGAGTGTGGTCGTACTGACCCAGCTCAAACCACATAATTTCATTTATCTTTTCAGATCTCACAAGAATAGGAGATGCAAAAATTTGGCTGCAGCAGCCCTCAAGTTCCTCAGAATCTGCATGGCTGACATTAAGCCTTCTGCTCACGTGAGTTTAGATAAACCACAGAGAAATAACAGTAATAAAAAGCCCTCTTTTTAACAGGCGATAATTTGGGTTCCCTTGGGATGCTTCAGCACAGTTTATAACATGGAAGACATGAGGGTTATCAGGACCAAACCTACCAAGACTGGGCTCAGCAATGATGCAAGAAGCCAGGAAGATTGAGGATTTAGCACTATTGTCAAAAAAACCTGCTGTCAGATAAAGGGCAGCAGTGGAGGTCTGCACCAGGATTTGGCTTTTGGCCGTGCCACTTTCTAATTCCCTCTGCAGCAGAGCTTCATGGGGTTGGCCTTTCATTGGGGGTGGGAGGGTGTTGAATTTAAACTTGTAGATTATTACTCTATGAGTTATTTTGTGAGTTATTTACAAGTAATTTATATAAAYATAAATTACTTCCCTGGTACTCCTTGTCTGTCAGACGGATTTTGACTGCGGAATCCAGTCACAGCAGCAAGATTCTAATAGGAGACTAGCACAGAGGAAAAAACAGGCAGCAGTATCTACCAGACAGTCATTAATAAAGCTCAAGGAAGGGCATTACTGCACAAGGAAGACCACAGAGAAAGATATAAAGGAAAATCTACTAATTTTTCCATACCACCAATGCTACCTGCTGTAACTGAACCATACAGATACATTCAGATAAACTTAGCAAAACTCTTGCTACAATATACCTCCAAACAACTACATTAAATAAAAAAAATCCAAGAATGCAGGATGACAGTGAACGATGGGAAGATGGTAAGAGGGGTGAATGCACAGAAGGGAACAGTTTTCAAAACAGAATATTAGAACTGAATCAGGAATTTACTTACTTGCTTTCTTGTGTAATAACTTGTGAGTAGCCCAGCTTCCTTTAAAACATTCCTAGAATTGCAAACAGTAGACATGTATTTTTAAGTAGTTTCATCTTGGGCAGACATACCATTTCCACAAAAGAGTAACTGTTACTTTAAAAAGTAAATATAAAACAATAATTTTATAAACCCTTGTAGAAACATGCAGTAAATGCTACTGTAACCGACAATCTTAACACTAGAAAATACTACATTTAGGAGTTTGAGCCAGAATAGGCAACAAGCACAGCCAAACAGATGCACCCACCAACGGGAAATGCACTGATTTAATCTTCTCTACTAAATATTGTCTCCTTAGCACTTTAGTGTGTAACCAGACACCGTGGTTGCTTCATGGTGCCTGAATCCCTGTGCTGTTCTTTGGAACATGAGGCTCGGGGTTCACCTAGGTCTCTTTCTCTCTCTCCATACCAAATCTCCTGGCACTGCAGCGGGCTGAATAAGCCTCCCAGGTCCTACAAAAAGTCACCTCCTCCTGTTACTTGCATCCTTCCTGCCGCCTTCTCCAGCATGAGGGAGCAGCACCAGAGCGGGTAAACAAGAGAAAAAGATCAAAAGGGGGAAAAACGAGTGGGGGCTACTGAACAGAAACAAGGAAAGGAGAGGGAGGAAAAAAAGAGAAGAAAAAACAAATGGAAAGCAAGGAAATAGAGGATGTGAAGAGAAGGGGCTGATATTTTTCTCCTTTACCTGAGAAGACAAAGAAGTTCGTGGGAGAAGGTTAAAAAAATCAATGAACCAGCGAAGCGGGAGGCAGAAATGGTTGGCAGCTAAAGATAGATTAAAATGAGGAAAAAGGCAGGTGAGCAAATGAGAGAGCTGAATAGGAAAGCTGTTGAAGAAGACATTAAAGAGGATCCTTTAGTGCGCTAAATGGGTAATTTATTGGTTTTGTAGCTCAAAGTCTAATTCATTGGCTGTGCGCACTCACAACAACTGTGTGGAAAGGGTAATTCCAAACATTTAGAGCAACATCTGAATTTCTGAAGTAACAGGCAGGAAGCAAACTTTTTTTTTTTTCCTTTACAAGGAAAGATAATCCCAATGCTGACTCATCACCACAGATCCTATGTGACGTATACAGCCCCAGACCCCTCCAAGACAGCAGACCTGCAAACTAAACCCCATGTAAAAGAGTCTCCATGGGCTTTGCTGTGCAGGCTTCACTGCCTGCTTCAGTAGRGCCCTCTTCTCCCCATTTTCTATGGAGTCTGTAACAGTGCTTTCCARTCTGTATCCACAAGACCACAGTACCCAGTACACCGATCAGCTGAATTTACTGTTCGGTATTTCCCTCATTAGCAAGACCAGTTATTGCTGCAGGTTCCTCCTACACCAAATACCCATTTTTTTGCCATTTTGCTGGCCTGGCACACAATAGGCCAGGGAGCTACATAAGGGTTCAAGCAACAGGAGGAAAACTTCATCTTGAACCAACAGTGGAAGKTTCTACTATCACACTGCTACAACTCAGTGCACGCACAGACCTGCTCCTGCTCCATTACCTTCTGTCTGCTGGAGCGCAAGGCAACAGGAACAAGTTTAACTGAGACATATGTAAGGAAAAAAATTAAAAAGTCAAATGCCCTATTTCAGGGATACTCATATGTTTTTAAACACCTTCTGCTTCTGAATTGAGATCTGAGCTGCAAAGAAAATCAAGAATTGTACAGCTCAGGACTCACAGGGTCACAAGACACATTCGTTATGGGGAAACTGAGTCTGCAGGTTTCATTTCTTGGCAGATAACGGAGTATGTGGGGAAAGGTGAGATCAGTTGTGACACCCACGTGTAGCCAATTCTCCTTTTCCCTATGCAAGTTGGGATATATTCTCCAAAGCCATTCGCTCCTGTCCAAGACCAGGAGTCTTTCCTTGTCGTGCACAAGGACGCTGCTAGYGGCAAACAGCACTGCTCGCAGCATCTGACAGTCTCCATTTTGACTTTTTATTTCCTGCAGCTGCAAGCGACGCGAGGGTCCTGCATAAGGCAGCCATATGTTTGAGTTTCCCCTAGCACACTTCTCATTTTTACTTGTCCTCTCTTTGCAGAGAGGCAGCAGCGCAGTCCGAAGGACGACAGCGTAGCTTCAGGCRTGCACTGCACGGGCAGCCACTGACTGGAACCGTGTCCATGGAGCGAGGTCTGGGCAGCACCTCTGTGTGCGGTGCACGATCAATGAACACCCGGGTCCTGCTCTGCACCTCTGGAAGGCACTCAACGGATGTGTGGCTGCACAGCCACTTAGGCACCCCTGTTTAATGCCCATATAAGCCCGGGTGTTTTGTGCAGCATCAACCCCACGCTTCCCGTGGGCACTGGCCTCAGCAGATACTCGCAACTCGTTCTGCACTAGCACTMTATCACGTGTCCGCACGGCTCGGCCTGGGCAAGTCCACACAAAAACGCGGCTGTTGTGATAGCTCTCGCTCATGAGAGCCACTCTCTGGACAGGATTCTGGGTTTTGCTGAGCCTTCTCTGCTGAGCCTTCCCTCGCTTCTCTCAGTGATTTCCACCTTAGGGACTCAGCCCAGTATCTAGCTGAAATATTGGCAGAACCACGCAACAAAGCAGAAATAGCTTTACACCAGAGAGCATTTTTATCTAAACTACAACGACTACTMTCAAACAGTGACCAAACAGACTGAAAAAAATCAACCCTTGAGAAAAAAAAAGGGGGGGRAAAATAAAATAAATCCTTTCAAACATTTAACAGCACTTACTGAACTACTTAAATTTGACCTAACTACTTAAAATTGACTTTTTCTTATTTTTATTGTCATGTTTGCAGAGAATTTCTTACTCTTTGGCTCAGGCATCCCKGCACCATGTATCAGTTACTACTTCTCCTGTGCTTATCGCAGACTGTGCAGACTGTAAAGGCATGTATCAAGTGTAAATCATTTGTATATATTAACACATACCATTTATGCACACTGCATATAATTTACACAAAAGTGGCATGTGCATCTCTCAAGGGATGCTGCAATAGCAAAGTCATCTTAGTACCAGGAACAATATTCTTGTGATGTCGAGCTGTTTCTGCATTCAGAAGATGCAGCAGGATGTAGCAATTTGGTCTAAGCTGACACACACCTAACACTATTATAAATGTCTGCAGAAGATGCAACACTATTATAAATGTCTGCAGAAGATGCATGCCTATAGAAGCAAGACCGTGAAAGAAGGTAGCTGGCAGTGACAATACCTAATTTAATAGGCTAAATGAAGATGAATAACTAGGATGATGCCCTTTATCACGGAAAGAAGAAACACAAAATCCTAAGGTTATCTCCTCTCTACATTGGAGTGGGATAACGCTGTGGTTCCACCTAGTAGTTGATCACAGTGACTCATGCACCTAACCATGCCACTATGGACAGAAAACTCTTTGAAGTTGTTGCAGCTCTGCCTTTTAAACTCCATGGGCAAAATGATTCCCAGCGTTAAATTCTGTCCCCTGAGGAGGAAAGGTTGGAGAAGTTTCATAAACGCTAGGCATTGCATTGGTACCTGCTGGATTTTCCTGGCTTTCCAGACTCCTCTGCTTAGTGATAAGGTTGAGGGCCAGGTTGTCAGCAGCCCCTTGGCTGTCCCAGTGACAGCATTTGGTGTCACAGAGGCCACTGCAGTGAGTCTCCAGATTCTCCACTGTACACGAGAGAGGCAGAGAGCTGATCTTGAGATGCCCTGGGCCCAAAGAGGGGAGCTGAAGCCGGTCACTGCAGGCTGACCACAGGACTAYGCCTTGACACAATATGTTTTTGTGCATGTCCTGAAAATAGGCTGCTAATTTCCTTAGCTCTTCTGTAAACTTCTTCCTTCAAACCCCTCAAAGCACCTTCCAAGAGGGGAATAACAACGCTTCCCAACTTTACTGACCAGCGGTTAGAAACTCCCCACTCCAGGATGTTCTAAAAGATTTTAAGCTAGCATACAGTTAATAAAATCTCTTCACCCTATAGAAATTTAGCTGTGTTGGGAGTGGGAAGGTGAGGCATTGCTAGAATGTCCCTCATGGACCTCTCTGGTCCACGAACAAATGGTATTGTTATCACAGACTAGTGTTTGTACACGCTGAAGAAGCATTTGTATTCAGTTTCACATCAGAGATGTTCAAATTGGTGATAAATACAGGGCAGATCCTGCAAATCACCTATGAACTTCACACTGGGGAAAAAAAAAAAAAAAAGAAAAAGAAAAAGAAAAAGGAACAATTTGTAATTGCAGTCCATGCAGCTTAGCATCGACTCTCAATGTCTGGTCGCAGGGGTGCTTTCAGGGTAAAGTACCAGAAACTGTGCACTAGGTGTGTTATGTGCATGTAGGAAGATTTCCCCSCTAGTCTAATGATCAGTTTATACCCTGAAGCAAAAAATATTAGTTTGCCCAGTTAATAAATGTATCCAGCTGATGTGACTGAATGCTTCTGCTACATTTATCTACAGTATTTTACTGATTTCACCCTGAATTGCAATTCTGACAGTGAAGTCCATCATTGATCTTGGAACTAAACATGTATTTTCTCAGCTAACAGGAGTGACACATACAAAAGGTTTACAGTACTAACCTGTGTGTTCTCCTGTGCATTTACAGTAAAGACAAACAAACAAAAAATAAAAACACTCAGCAGTCATCAGACACTTCTCTCCATTTAATGAAGGAGCAAAGTTTATTAGTGGCGCGGCAGCAAGTCGGCGGAGCTGAGGCCTACGGAGCGGGCTTAGCAGAAGTTGATAGTTACATGACAACTGGCTCCACGTGAATCTCCCTGTGTGGCAGCCTTAAAATCCAAAAGGATTTAAAGAAAGAAAGAGAGAAGCAAGCAAACAAAAAGGGGTTGTCATTGTTCCCTGCCACCCTGAGGTCTCTTATTTAGTTAGAGGAATGGGAAAATCTGCTTTGAGAGCAACAAGTCCTGCACGCCCATGGCAGCCACGCGACTCCGGGCACAGGAACGCACGCGCCGCGATCTGACGGGCACTTCTCGTTTGCCCCACGAAGGGCGATCTGACAAATAAAGGAGTAAATCCACGGTCAAACGGCGTGGGGGGGGCGGAAACGTGCCCCGAGGGTGACACTGCCACGACCTGCAGGTATGTGCGGTACCCACGGGCTCGAGCAGCAGCGGCCGGGGGCCTCCCCGGCCCGCAGGCTCCCGCCTGCCCTGGAGCGGGGTGACCAAGCGCAGATCGCCCCTAAATCCCCCCCAAAAGCGGCTCTGGGGGGAGGCAGGAGCCAAAGGCGGCCGGGGCGGGCCGCAGACCCGCCGCGGGGAGGGATCCGCGCGGCGGCGGCGGCACGGGGCTCACCTGGGAGCAGAAGTAGGAGCCCTGGATGCCCAGCTTGAGGCAGGTGGGGCACTGCAGCTTGGCCTCGCTGCTGCAGCCCGCCGTCTCGCACACGCGCGCCTCCACGGCCGCCATGCTGCCCGCCTGCCACAGGCGCGGC